AAGGCTGTCTCCCGGATATCTGCAGGAGAACAGACAGGGCTGCCATGTGGGGTCAGCTCTGGCAAATACTCTGCAAGCAAAGCGTCCCCCCACCAACATCCCATGGAAGCTCAGACCTCCCCTTCTACTGCTTCCTCTGTACTGGGTGTTGTTGCCTGGGTGCTGCACCCACCCAGGAGTGGGCTGTCTGGGGCAGGAGGTGTCTTTTGCAAGCAGATATACAGAACTTGGGGGATGGCCAGGCCCCTCCAGAATTCTACCATCCCAGCTGCCTCCCCTTGCAGGAATGAGTGCTGCCCAAAGAGGGGAGCTCAGAGAACAGGGGAGGTCCTGGCTGACTTGGTGGTACCCACAGTTTCCTCACACTACCCTGCAATGTACCTCCAAGCAGTAAATACCCTGTTCTCAGCTGCAAGCTGGCAGTTGGAGAGAAGTTCTGCAAGGGACACCCATCTGCAGGGTGGCAGCAATGAAACTGCGCAGCCCGCCCTCCCCCCATACCCGCTTTGCCATGGGGTGCTGCCTGCCCCCCCCTCCCACTGCCGACACAGCCTCCACCCTGTAGGATTATTTATTATTAGTATTTGCTCCTGTCTCTTTCTGCTCCGGGACATGAATTCCAAGCATCTTTCCTCTGCCCAGACCTGCCGCTCGCAGCCGCAGCCAGCGGGGGATTCTGGCAGTGGGGGCGTGGCGCCCCGCTCAGGGGGCTCCTGCACTCCCCCTGCCCCATGCCAAGCAACCCCTGCCCACCCAAATGCCAGGACAGGGCTGGCTCAGGGTGGTGACACACAGTGGGTGGAGAAGGAGGGGAAGGTATATTTTAAGGGGAGGGGTGTCCCATCCCTCCATCTCCAGCACTCTGACTTGGGGGCTGTGGGAAGAGGGGCTCCTGGACGTTGTCTCCATAAGTGGCTCCTCCTCAAGTCCACAGAGCACCCAATTCCCATTGGTATTGGTAGGATCTGGGCACACCGGTGCCTTTCCAGCAGTGAAGAAGGTCTCTGGCTGTCCTGCCCATCCTTAAGCCACACGGCTACCTGGCTGCTGGGGCTGGCAGAGCTGTCAGCAGGCAGCTCACAGCTGGCAGAAGTCCCCATGCCACCCTGCCAGCTGGGGCCCTGGAGGTACATTGCTCCCCTGACAGCTCCTCCAGGCACGTGGCTGCCCCAAGTCACCCTGCCCTGGCACATGCTGCAGGGACGGAAGGAGGGACGTCTGCAACTGAGCCAGAGAAGCTAGGGCTGAGCCCACTGCAGCATGCTCGGAAAGAAGAGCCTGTCTGATGGGAGGTATCTATCTGACAGCAGCTGGGAACCCCAAAAATGCTGGGATGGTTTATCAGTCCCTGCAGACGTACAGGAAGGTAGTGCCTGCTGGAATCTCTCAATGCATGGCAAACTCTGCTTCTGACACCTACGATGCAGCCCTGGGGACCTCCACAGCTCTAGCTGGGATGTCCCATGACCTCATAAAGCCACGGGCTCCCAAACTCACCACTATCTCAGGACTTCACTCATCTCCACCACCCCAGCGGTGAGGCTAGGCCAAACAGAGCATGGTGGCTCATTCAGTACCTGCATGCCTGACACACCTGTGTTTCCTCCAGCCCAAGCTGCCCCTGGGTACCCAACAGCTCATCCGCCAGCATGGTCTGGCCCTGGCAACCTGGTACCACCTCGCTTTGAGCCTGGAGCCCTGCCTGGCACAGATCCCACCTGCCTCACTGTCAGGTCGATGTGAGGAATGTCCCCAATGTGCCCTATCTCTCTGCCCCATGACTGAATACACCTCCCTGTGTTAAGGAGAACCCACACTTGCAAACCAGATTCTTAAACGAGCCCACCCTGGCCCCACCACAGGCTGGTGTCTCCCTCAGGGCTTCAGCTCTGTCCACAACCGGTACCCACAGCTGCCGGGTGCCCAGGGTGCTCTGCCCTTGCCAATGCCCCCTGGGAGGCCAGCCTGAGCCCCTCAGTAAGGCCCCAGGGCACACCTGCTCTACCTTGGCCAGACAGATACACCAGCAGGAGATGTAACAGCCAAAGAGACCGAGGCTCTCTCTGACATCTCCATCTGCCCTGGCACAAGGATCGACACGGGAACAGGGGCAGAACTAAACTCACCACTCACTAAGTGATCCTACCAGCTCGAGGTGCTTCAGGTATCCCCTCCTTCTCTATGCACCTCCCAGCCTCTCTCCCTGGGGAGCACAGCAGGGCTTTCCCTTTCCTCACAGACTCACAGGTGCCCCTTCAGACCTGCCCATCCCTCCCTGCCACCCCATCCCTGTCCCTCAGGATGACATCAAGTTGCCCACCCAGGGATGGAGGGGAAAGCACTCCTCTCCTCTGCTCCCTGCAAGGCCAGGAGGAGGGATCTGCAGGGCACCCACGGGGTGAGGGGAAGCTCCCCACGGCTCCCTTCCACCAGGGCCCCTTCCCCCAGCACACCCTGGGGTCCCGGGCGAGCAGTAAATCACTGCCAGACGAAGGTGCATTCTTGGGCTTTGTGAAGCCCCGCACTGTCTGGGAGCATCGGTAATTGCTTCATTACAACACGGGGAGACATGTCCCAGCAGTAAAACCTCAGCGTGACTGCACCGGGGAGCCCTGAGCAACCCTCTACACACACACAAACACACACAGAGGTTTGCACGCCCAGACTCTGCAGAGTCCCAAGGAGATGCATGACCAGGCAGCTGGAGGCTTTTGAGAGATGGGAGGCCGAGGAAGTGCTGGCCTTACCTTGCTGTAGGATCTTGCCGAAGTACTTGCTATGGCTGGTGCAGTTCCAGCGACGGAAGCGGAATTGGTACTGGCACTCCCGGACTCCCAGTTTGGTGCCTTTGGCCACCTCCTGCACGATCTCTGGCTCCAGCTGGCACAGCTCTGCCTGCTTCCCTGCCAGCCTCTTCGTCTTGCGGCAGATGCTGTTGGGGTCCATGACCAGGGGGCTCCCCACTGCCCTGCAGGAGGGACAGCGAGCAGAGCAAAACCTGCACCCCAGCCCAAGGGAGGCCAGGGTGGGGATGGGGCATGGACAGACCTGCTCCCAAGGACGGAGCGGGGCCGCAGGGCAGTGTCGGCTCAGCATCAAGCCTGGGTGACAAGTGTAGAGCAGGATAAAAAGTATGGGTGGCATCTG